GCCACCGCCACTGCTGCCACCATGACCACAGTGGACTCCTCTCAGCCCCCACACCCCCTGCAGCTGGCCTCCTCTCCGGCAGCCAGGGCCTGGCACCCACTCACTACACAGGGAGTAGCTGCCCAGCGGATGACAGATTTTTCCATGGCACCAGCCAGTTGCTAGGAATCTCATGTTACCTTGTGGTCCCAACACTGGTTTTCACCAGCAGCCATCTGGCAGGAGCATTTTTCAATAACTAGATGAAATTATTATTTTGTGGAACTTGGAGTCAAAATAATCACAAAGGGGAAACAGACACATGTGACATTTTAGGATTACAATACAGAAGCATTTCTACATTGCCCTCCTCCTCCCCCAACACTCGCAGGACTAAGAGTTTGTAAGGCTCTTTAGAATTGGGGTCTAGATTCACTCAAGGAAAGACAATGACAGGCACAGGTGGTAACCATGGGTAGTGCCGCCTAGCTTCGGGGAGAATGCACAGGCCCCTCTCAGGGAGTGGCAATAGAGCTGGGGAATTCCTCTGTTCAGGAATCCCCAGAGAGGCCCTGAAGCACTGGTGCTGGTCTTCCCTTTGACATTCAGATAGTGTGACCTTGTGGCAAGGGCATGGGGCCAGATGAACTACAGCTCCTCCACTTACTTGGTTTGTTTGGGGCAGGACTCCCACCTACAAATTCTCTTCCATAAGAAAGGACTGGGACCACAGGATTGTAGGGAGACAGTAGTGCTGGTTTCAGAACATGGAGGTTGAGCCCTGGCTGTGGCACTGGCCTCCCTAAACCTCACTTATACTTCAGAGGTTTGACTCTATACCTAAGTTCTCTACCCGACACTTCTCACTGGAAACTATAAGGCTAGGCATGGCCACACAAAGGGCTAATATGCAGCTGCTAAAAATGATTTTCAAAGAGATGGGGTCTTGCTATGTTGTCCAGGCTGGAGTGCAGTGGCTATTCACAGGCACAATCCCACTGTGGATCAGCGTGGGAGTTTTGACCTGCTCTGTGTCTGACCTGGGCTGGTTTACATCACCTTAGGCAACCTGATGGTCCCCTGCTCCCAGAAGTCACCACATTGATGGTGAACTTAGTGTACACACGCAGTTGGCACAATACAGTACAGCCCAGAACTCCTGGGCTCAAGCAGTACTCTTGCCTCAGCCTTCTGAGGCTGGAACTGTAGGGTGTGTGCCACCATGCTCAGGACAAAAAAAAGTTTAAATAAAGTAAATCTCAGTATATTGATAGCAGACCTCTAAGACTTATTGGGCAATGAAAAAATATATACTAAACATGCACAATATGTTTTGTGTGAATAAAAAGGGACATATATGTATGTGTATCTGCTCACATGTATATAATTTGTATTTTCTGGGAGGTGTTATATTAATCTTCAGACCAAAGAGGTTCTTAAGATTTGCCAGAGGCCAGTCACGGTGCTTCATGCCTGTAATCTCAGTACTATGGGAGGTTGAGGTGGGAGGATTGCTTGAGGCCAAGAGTTTGAGACCAGCCTAGGCAGCATAGTGAGACTCCTCTGTCACTACAAAAAATTAAAAAATTAACCACCCATAGTGGCACACACCTGTAGTCCTAACTATTCGGGAGTCTGAGGCAGGAGGATTGCTTGAGCCCAGGAGTTCAAGGTTACAGTGAGATATGATCACAACACTGCACTCCAACCTGGGCAACACAGTGAAACCCTGTCCCTAAAAAAAAACCTAAAAAAATAAAATAAAAAGATTTGCAAGAGTAGGTGGCATTATCCAAATACATAATGGCAATAAAGACCAATTTATTTCACTCTTGCTGCAGCATTCTGAATTCAACATTGAGCCTAAGGCCAGGGATGTAGGGGAAACTTCATCAACATACCTGAACTCCATGACCTCCTCAAGTGCCCCTGATGAACTCTGCTTCTACTAACTAGGTTCACTTAATGCAGGAAACCTCAGCTGTCGGGCCATGAAATCCCTGAGGTGAAAACATCTGTGTCCAAGATCCTTTACTGGCATGCCAAATCCTACATCACTGAAGCAGCTGAGAAACTGGTGCAGACCAGGAAATTCCTGAACACCAAGAGGTACTGACCCTGCAAGTTAAAGAAAATATCTTCAGAATGTTTGGAATAAACTGAAGTATTGGAGATACTAAGACCCTCTCAGGTTTACTTTTTTGCCAATGTTAAATTTTACTATTCAGTTAAGGGTAGAAAAGTTTAAGGCTAGCACCATGGCTCACCTTGTAATCCTAACACTTTGGAAGGCTAAGGCAGGAGGATCATTTGAGGCTAGGAGTTCAAGACCAACCTGAGCAACATAGCCAGACCCCATTTCTATAAAAAACAAAAAAATTAGCCAGGCGTGGTATAGTTTGCCTGTAGTCCCAGCTGCTTGGTAGACTGAGGCAGAAGGATTACTTGAGCCCAGGAGTTTGAGGTTGCAGTGAGCTGTGATGGTGCCACTGCACTCTAGGCTGGGCAGTAGACCAAAACCTTGTTTCAAAAAAAAAAAGGTAGAAAAGCTTAATCTACAGTTAATAAGAGGAACACTCACTCATTGATATGTTCACTACTCCCAAACACTATATGCCTTTGCATTCCCATGCTTTTGCCTTCCACCCAGTGAGCTACTCCTCTTCTAAAATTCGACTAAAATGTCACTTCCACTCATGGCTTCCATAGGCTTGCAAATGACTCCCTTGTTTACCTGAGAGGTCAAAGGTAGATCTTTTCCCTTTTGCCTGAACCTGCTGAAACAAGTCCAGATACAGACCTACCAACTCCTGTTTTTCTGTCCCACAAATGGTTACTTGAAGAGCATGCCCTCTGAAATTAGCTAGACATTGAAGTAAATAAGTACTGTTCAGCATACTGACAAAGGTTTCCTGGTTGCAAAACCATGCCACGTGAATCTTAGAATCAGTTTGTCAATATCTATAAAACAGACTGCTTGAATTTTGATTGGAAATGCATTGTATATATAAACATGGGAAAGAATTATTTTAACAATGTTGAGTCTTACAACCTGCCAATAAGGTATATACATTATCTTCACTTACTTAGGTCTTCTTAAATTTTTCTCAGCAATATTTTTTAGTTTTCAGTACATATCTTTCAGATTTATCCCTAGGCATTTCATATTTTAATGCTATTATAAGTAGTATTATTTTAAATATTTCAATTCCTATTTATTCCTAACATAGAAATACAACCAATTTTTGCAAATTGATTTTGTATCCTACAACTTTGCAAAGTTCACTTATTAGTCTCAGTAGCTTTTTAATGGATTTCATTGGGTTTTCTAAACAGACGATCATAGCTGTAAATAAAGAGTTTTGCTTATTTCTATCAAAAAAAAAAGTCACTTTCCCAACTTGGCTATGTCCTTACACTTCTCTGCTTTTAACCTTTCTTTTTTCTTTTTTTGAGACAGAGTCTTGCTCTTTTGCTCAGGCTAGGGTGCAGTGGTCTGATCATAGCTCACTGCAGCCTCAAACTCCTGGACTCAAGCCATCCTCCTGCCTCAGCCTCCTGAGTAACCAGAACTATAGGCATGTGCCACCACACCCAGCTAATTTTTTTTGAAGAGATGGGATCTTTTTTCTTTTTTTTTTTAAGGGGTGGAGGTTGTGAGGAGGGGTGCTCAGTTTCCTTGTTTGTTTTTGTTGAGACAGAGTCTCACTCTGCCGCCCTGGGTAGAGTGCAGTGGCATCATTGTAGCTCACTGTAACTTCTAACTCCTGGGCTCTAAGAGATCCTTCTGCCTCAGCCCAGCTGGGTTTTTATAAAATTTCTTTTTGGTAGAGATGGGGTCTCACTCTTGCTCAGGCTAGTCTCAAATTCCTGAGTTCAAGCAATCCCAGAGTGCTAGGATTACAGGCATGAGCCACTCTACTCAGCCTCAATTTTGATGTTTTTAAGAGACAGGGTCCTATACCGTCACCCAGGCTGGAGTACAGTGATGCAATCAAAGCTTACTGCAACCTCAAACTCCCAGGCTCAAGCAATCTTCCTGCCTCAGATTCCTGAGTAGTCGGGACTACAGATGCATACCACCACAATGGGTTAATTTTTTAAAATTTTTGTATAGACAGGGTTTTGCTACATTGCCCAAGCTGGTCTCAAGCTCCTGGCCTAAAGCAATCTTACCTCCTTAGCTTGCCAAAGTACTGGGATTACAGGTATGAACCACCATGCCTGACCAATTTTTTTAAAAATAGAAAATGTTTTTTCTTAGTGCTATTTCGAAACCAGATACCAAAAGGAAGACAAGTTATACTCCAGCATTTCTAACAATACATTTTTGAATGCTTCCTTCTCTCCTCAAAAACTATACATTTCCTTAAAAGTGGGCTTTATATTTATATTCTAGAACCTGGAACAGTCCCAGAGGCACAGGAAGTATTAGACAAACATCAGCAGAATCAACATGAGTTCCAGCATGGAGCTAACCAGTCCCTACACCAAAAGCTGCTTCTGAATTGGCAACAGGTTTGTTATAGGAGCGAATCTACAAGTCCAAGAGCCAGGCCACAGAGGCAGACAGGTTCCTCTGAACTGGGCCGTGCTGGGGAGGCAGTTGCTGATTACTCTGCCTGTTACAACCACAGCTATTGCTCTGTCTCAGCTGTCAGCCAAAGAACAGGTCTCCACTCACAGAAAAACAAGGATGACCTCTGCTGTGGGGAAAAGCAGAACAGAGTACTATCAGACAGCTTTGGAGTGAGATTTCTTACAGGAAGACAAGCTGTAGAACAAAGTTGATGGAAATGGTGAAAGCAAAGCAAACAGCTCTGCATCAGTTACTTACCTCAAATGACCTGTTTTATCCCTTTCTCAGTTTTGAACCATTTAAATCCTGATTTTGAAAACAAAGGCCAGGACTGTTCCTATTTCCCAGCTCAGCAAACATCACAGCCACTCCTGATAATTATCTCACCTTCCTCAAATGCAGACTACTAACAGCTAAACTGATCAATCACCACAAGACAATGTTCACTAAGGACCAAACTTTAATATTTCAAGGGCATCCCAAATGAGTTACTGGTGCAGTTACATGAACTTCCATTCATGCCACCAAAGCAAGAACCATAAATTCTGAACATTAAAGCTGATTACCTCTTTGGATACATAACAACAATACATTAAAGCATGTCACAAAGTGCAAAAAAAGAAGGCATCCAGCAGAAGAAAAACCAGCTCTTGGAAAAGCTGGAAGCAGAGGGCTGATTGTCCTAAGATATTCCTTTTGGAGATCATAGTCCCAGGATATAAAGCTGTCTCAGCCAAAAAGAGGTCTAGACATGGATTTTGATGTATTCTTATTACAACCAAAGACAAGCTCAAAGAAAACAGAGGTTCAGATTTCCCACGGCTGCAGCTGGATCATGCATCAAAGAGTACCTCTTGTTTACTTCTCATGTGTAGGCTGAGCAGGAAGCAAGCAGCAAGACTTAGCCAGTGATTCTGACTCCAGGCTGACATCTCTGCGCTTGAGCTCTGAGCTCCTCAGGCAGGACAGCCTGGAATTGCTCTTGCACCAGCATTTCCACAATCTGCTCCTTTGTGTGAATGTCAGGTCTCAGCCACTGTCCAGCAAGCTCCTGAAGATGTCTGAGGACATCCCTGGGACCAGCTGCATCCTCATAGCAGAACTTCCTAAACCTCTGCCTGGAAGTTGCAGGGTTGGGAGGATTCCTTTGTGGTGTGTTCTCAAGGTCTTCAACAGTGTCTTCATCCAGGCTCTCTGGTGGGAGCCCAGAAGGCTCTCCTGGAACCTGGACCTGGGAAGCTGGTATTAGGATGACTTCTGGCTCCTCAGCCATCATTTCATTTAGTAGTGACCGCATTTGATCATTCTGGACTTCCCTGTTTCTTTGTGTCTCTGGGTATCCTTCAGTCTCCATTCTGGAACTCTGGGAAAAAACGTTTCAGACTCCTAAGCACAAAGAGAAAAGTCATGGTCAGCAAAAACAGATGACAAAGGCTGTTAAAACACCCTGATCTCATGAATCTGGTACAGACCCAGGTTCCATCAAGCCTTCCATTCTTAACAGCATTCCTTAATTAAGCTACTAGAAATTCTACTTTTGTTTTCCCCTTGCTGGATCAACTGACACAATTGACAAAATGTGCCACTAAGAAATGTAGATTCTCAAAGCAGAAAGAATGAAGAACACTGGCCTTGCTGCAGAAACCTGCATCCATTTTTTTCTCCCATCATGCTAAGACAAAAAAAAATTGTATATACATGATTTCTTTGGGAGGTGACCAAGTCATGGGTGTTTGCTTCCTCCCACCATTTTTATAGAACATTTGCTATGTCTACAAAGCAATTTATGAAGAGGTGCTAAAAGAGAGAAGAATAAGATCTGTTCATTTATATCTACTGTACTGCCTTTTCTACCTCTAACCCTCACTTTTATGATGGTGAAAGAACACCAAGTGTTAAAGTGTTAAACACTTGAGGCAGCAGTGAGCTATGGTCACGCTTGTGGAGAGCCACTGCACTCCAGCATGGACAAGATAGGCAGACATCTCTTTAAAAAAAGAAAAAAAAAAGTGACCAGGCATAGTGGTTCACGCCTATAATCCCAGCACTTTGGGAGGCTCTCTTGAGACCAGAAGTTCAAGACCAGCCTGAGCAACATAGCAAGACCCTGTCCCTACAGAAAACTTTAAAATTAGCTGCACATGGTGGTATGCACCTGTAGTCCCAGCTACTGAGGAGGCTGAGGCAGAAGAACCACTTGAGTCTAGGAGTCGGAGGCTGCAGTGAAGTATGATAGTGCCACTGCACCCCAGCCTGGGCAACAGAGTAAATAAAAACAAAAAAAGGAAATACTCACCAGTTGCTAGTATTTAAAAAAAGAAGAAGAAGCCTCTAGGTTAAGATCAGAAACCTAAGCTGCTCTATCAGTGTATGGAGTGTATGGGAACTTGTCAGAATCCCAGCAGTGTACACGGCCAACACTTTGGATGTTTCAGATTCCAGGATTATCAAACCAGCTGTAGTGGGAGGAAGGGGGAGGCGAGCAAATTAAACACCTGCAAAATGACAGGGAAAAAAAAAGCCTTTGCTTCATTTGATTAGGGCCCCAGTCCAAAAGAGGGGTTATTTGCAGAAAAACCACATCCTATGTTAATTTACTTTAAAAAAGAAAGAGACTTCAATGACAGAACAGAAATGACTAAATTCATTTTCACATCAGGGTACATCAAAAGGATACAAAGGTTATGATGCAGTCACTTTTCAAGGATCTTTTTCATTAACGCTCTCTTCTCCCAAGGAATTGATGGCTCCCTAGTCTACACAGCAGGAATGTGGACACTCAAAATCCCTCCCACTTCAGACTCTCTCAAATCTGTTCAGAGGTCAACAATCACCAACACTGACCAGCTGCCCTGCATTAACTAGTTCCCAGCACCTAGTTATCCCTTCTTTCATTTTTTTTTTTTTGAGACAGAGTTTCACTTTATTGCCCAGGTTAGAGTGAGTGCCCTGGCATCAGCCTAGCTCATAGCAACCTCAAACTCCTGGGCTCAAGCAATCCTCCTGCCTCAGCCTCCCAAGTAGCTGGGACTACAGGCATGTGCCACCATGCATGGCTAATTTTTTCTATATATTAGTTGGCCAATTAATTTATTCATTATAGTAGAGACAGGGTCTCACTGTTGCTCAGGCTGGTTTCGAATTCCTGACCTCAAGCAATCCACTTGCCTCAGCCTTCCAGAGTGCTAGGATTACAGGCGTGAGCCACCGCGCCCGGCCACTATCCCTTCTTTCAAGGTTCCCTGACCCATTTTCTGGGAGCCCTGAATTGATTCTAGACCCTGTAGCTTGGATATTCTTGAAGTACACCAATTCTTCTTATTTTTTCGTATTTTTGCTCAGTTAACAGGGTGTGCCCATCCCCAAAAGAAAGTTGGCACTAACCTAGGGTGATGAGAAGGGTAAAAGCAGAATACCTGCCGACTCAGGGGTACCTTGGAAAAAAGGAAAATATTTAGTCCAGGAAATGTTGGGTGAAACATTGTGGGAAAGCAAAATTTTGGGGAAGGCCGGGCGCTGTGGCTCACGCCTGTAATCCTAGCTCTTGGAGAGGCCGAGCGGGCGGTTGCTCGAAGTCAGCGAGTTCAAAACAGCCTGAGCAAGAGCGAGACCCCGTCTCTACTATAAAAGAAAGAATTAATTGGCCAACTGAGTATATATAAAAAAAAATTAGCCGGCATAGTGGCGCTGCTGTAGTCCAGTACTCGGGAGGCTGAGGCAGAAGGATCACTCGAACCCAGGAGTTTGAGGTTGCTGTGAGCTAGGCTGACGCCACGGCACTCACTCTAGCCTGGACAACAAAGTGAGACTCTGTCTCAAAAAAAAAAAAAAAAAATTTGGGAAAACTAAGTGACTATCAACAGGGAAATGATTAAACCATCCAGTGGAATGCAGTGCAGCCTTGGGAAGAATGAACTAGGCCTGAGGGAGCTGATAAGTAAAGTCCATAACATACCACAACATGACCAAGGTGCAGATCAATGTGTAGTATGATCCCATCCGGGGAAATTAAAGCTACACACAAATAAGCAAAATAACCTGATATATCCAAACAGTATGTGGATATTATCAAAGAAACTAATTGTATTTACTTCTGAAGAACAGGAACAGAACAGGGAAACACTTTTCATTTTATAACTTTCTGTATTATTTTCTTTTTAACTACAAATATGCATTTCTTTCACAACAACTCAAGAGGGAGGAAACTTTTCGGGTTTTCCCTTCCTACCCAAAACCTTTCTGAGTGAAAAGCCCTAAGCCACTTAGGAAAACACCCTCCTATTAATTTTTCTAGCTCCCAGCACCTAAGGTCTTTACAACCCTGGCTTCTAGAAATAGTCTCAACTGTCAGTAGACTAATTCTCAAGGTTAGCTCCGAAAGATGGACGACCAGCTCCACAATTTAACCAGCTAGTTAATCCTATCAGTCTCATAAGACAACCTGCCAAACACAAAGCTTAACCTCACCAGTGAATAACTCTAGTTTACTGTGCAGTTATTTTCTATCTGACATTGTACAGAACGTTATACACACACTCTCCTCTATATGATCTTCTCAGCCACTCAGGTTAAACTGCTGACACAGCTACTGCCCCAGGAATCTCCATTAACAGCAGCAACAGCTGCTACCATTTCTGGAATTTTATGGGCCAGACACGCCGCTGCTTTCCCTCACCCTATCCTCCCAATAACCCATGGGGCAGACACTGTCATTTCCATTCATAGATAAGCAGACTGGGGCTCAGAGACAGACCTGCCCCAGGTCGCAAGGATAGAAGGCGGTGCGACAACTCAACCCAGAAAAGGAATCCCAGCGACTGAGCGAGGAGCTGAGCCCGGCTCCTCCCACCATGCAGGCGCGGCTCGGACCGCCTAGGCCCGGCCGAGAAATGGGCTTCCGGGACTCCAGAACCGGGCCCTCCACTTCGTGAGCTGAAGCAAGGTCCAAGGCCACGCCAGCCCGAGGACCCCACAGACCCCACGGGCAGGGCGCCCCGCTCCTGGGGCTGGCCGCCACGCGGGCCGCCCGCTCGCAACGGCCCTGCGCAGGGGACGAGGGAGAGAGGGAGCGTTCACCTGGGCAGGTGCCACCTCAGGGGGCGAGGGAGGACCAGGGTGAAACCCTAACCCCGACACTGACTCCAGAAAACGGATACCAACACTCCGTTGCAGACCTTTGTCGAGCACGGCCGGAACCGGAAGCCGCGCCTCCGCCCGGAAGTTGAACGGGGAGGGGGACTTGGGTTGGGAGGGCTGGGTCTCTCTAGGCACGGTGGTGCTCCGCAGCTTCGTGATTTTCGGCCTTGGTGCTCTTTTGGCCTCCTGGGTACGGTCTCCTTCCTATGGTGCGGAGCTTTGGGAAGCTTTTTCGCGTCGAAGGGGTCGTTTGTCCTTTGAGCGCAGTCTGCAACTGCAAAATGGAAAGAGATGAAGCGGGAACTGAGACACTCTAGCAGCCCGCCGGCAGCCGAGTCGGCGAGGCTTTCCACTCAGAGGAAAGAAACCGAAAGAGTGCGGGCTGGCCGCTGTTTGGAGGCAGTGGTTCTGTGTGGCTTCCCATGGAATCACTCCATGGGGCAGCGGGCACAGTCAGTAGTCCCTGCCTCAGTGTACCCAGACAGCCGTGGGCATATGCCCGTGGGAGTTTGACAAAGTCTGTCCAGGGCGGTTCCCTGTGTGTTAGGGGGCTAAGTCTCAGCACTGTGTGCCTCTTCCTCAAGACTCTCCAACTGCTACCAGACTAGGCACTGTAGCCTGGCGGTTAACAACTGCAACTGTGAAGTCATCCTGATCTGGGTTGAGTCTGGACACACAGGTTACAAGAGAGTCAGTAAGAGGAAGTACAGAGATGCCAAACCAACCAAGGCAGCCCGCCCATCTCGCTCTTAACCCTGAAGGGGAAAGGATTTAGCTGTGAGGGAAAGGCGGTCAGTTGGCTCATCCCTCTCTGTTTCCAACAGGCCTATCAAATGGGGCTAGAGGATTAAGAGGGACACCCCAAAGCCTCTTTGCTGCGTTATCACCCAAGAGCCAATGTCATTGTGGAAAGGAAGATGTGCCCTTTCTCTACACTGCCACCACTTGTCTGTAAACTCCTAGGTGGCCAGGTGCTCCAGCTGGTGGGTCAAGAACCAGGATTCCTTGGTCTGGCCCTCCCCCTCCCCACCAGAGAAACCCAGGACCCTTCACCCACTTACTCTTACAACCCTGCGTCTGCCTTTTACCTCCTCTCTCAGCCTTGGTTTCCCTATTGTGAAATGGAGGGGTGGACCAGATAAAGTACTTCCAACTGTCTCTCCCAAACTCTAATGTTCCTTGGGAGTGCTTCAGAAAGCTGTGGGAGGTGGGGGGATGGCGCTTTGAGTCCCAGAGCAGTTCGATTTTATAGGTTTATAAATTTATATGAAAGTATATGGGCCAGGTGTGGAGGCTCATGCCTGTAATCCTAGCACTCAGAGAGGCGGAGGCGGGAGGATCACGAGGTCAGGAGTTTAAGACCAGAGTGAGCAAGAGCGAGACCCTGTCTCTACTAAAAAGAGAAAAAATTAGCCCAGCGTGATGGAGTGCACCTGTAGTCCCAGCTTCTTGGGAGGCTGAGGCAGGAGGATCACTTGAGCCCAGGAGTTTGAGGTTGCTGTGAGCTGTAATGATGCCACTGCACTACCCAGGGCAACAGAGTGAGACTCTTGTCTCAGAAAAAGAAAGGAAAGTATACATGTTTAGGCTCTCTGTAAGTTTATTGTACCATTCAAGGTAAAGTTCAAATTTAGTGCTTTGCCCCACCCCCCTCATCTTTCCTCACCCTCCTGCTATGCACTCTGCTCCTTCTTGTTATTTTGCAGACCTGACAAGCTCCTCTTTACCTCTCTTGCTGATCTCTGCTTGCAGTTCTCTTTCCTGAGATCTGTTCACCCAGGTTCCAGCTCAACGGTAGCCTTTCCAGAGCAGCCTTTGCTGCCCCTGTCCCCCACCTATCCCAAAGGCACTCACCCAATCCCTTTATGACCTGTTGCCCTGCTTTTGTGATTACTGTTTGTTTTCTTTTCTTTTCTTTCTTTCATTTTTTTTTTTTTTTGAGAACAGAGTCTCACTCAGTTGCCTGGGCTAGAGTGTCGTGGCATCAGCCTAGCTCACAGCAACCTCAAACTCCTGGGCTCAAGCAATCCTCCTACCTCAGCCTCCCGAGTAGCTGGGACTACAGGCATGCGCCACCATGCCCAGCTAACTTTTTCTGTAAATTTTTAGTTGGCCAGTTACTTTCTTTCTATTTATAGTACAGACAGGGTCTCACTCTTGCTCAGGTTGGTTTCGAACTCCTGACCTTGAATGATCCTCCCACTTTGGCCTTCTAGAGTGCTAGGATGACAGGCGTGAGCCACCACGCCCAGCCTATTTTCTTCTTTGTTTGAGGTTTTTTCAGAAATGGAGTCTCATTCTGTCACCCAGAGTACCGTGGTGTGATCATAGCTCACTGCAACCTCAAACTCCTGGTCTCAAGAGATCATCCATCCTCTTTCAGCCTCCAAGTAGCTGGGACTACAGGCCCACCTCACCATGCCCGGTTAATTTTTGTATTTTTTGTAGAGATGGGGTCTCGCTCTTGCTCAAGCTGATCTCCAGTTCCTGGCCTAAAGCCACTACCTGTTTATTTTCTATCTAATCTACTAGAGGCAGAGTCTACAAGGGCAAGGACCTTGTCTGTCCTGCCACCCACTATGCCCATTAACCTGAAATACACGAAAGGATCAGCAATTTTAAAGAGTTCATTAGTCTTAAAGTGAAAAGCTGATAATAGTCATCCAGGAAACACAGACTTCAGAGAAATGGAGGTCAGTGCTCCTAAGCTAAAAGTTAAGGTCTGGCTTATACAGGCAGAAAACAAAGAAATTTAGTAGTATTATAACATTTTCTATACAAGGTTGGTTTATGGTTACAACAATATAATTAGTTACATTTTGTTTTCTTTTCCATTGCATTCTTTTCTTTTTGTTTTTCTTTTCTTTTCTTTTCTTTTTTTTTTTTTTTTTTTTTTGAGACAGAGTCTCACTTTGTTGCCCAGGCTAGAGTGAGTGCCATGGTGTCAGCCTGGCTCACAGCAACCTCAAACTCCTGGGCTCAAGCAGTCCCGCTGCCTCAGCCTCCCAAGTAGCTGGGACTACAGGCATGTGCCACCATACCCAGCTAATTTTTTCTATATATATTAGTTGGCCAATTAATTTCTTTCTATTTATAGTAGAGACAGGGTCTCGCTCTTGCTCAGGTTGGTTTCAAACTCCTGACCCCGAGCAATCTGCTTGCCTCGGCCTCCCACAGTGCTAGGATTACAGGCGTGAACCACTGCGCCCGGCCTGTTTTCTTTTTTTCTGAGACAGAATTATTCACACTTTAATGATTTTAAGAATGAGAATGATATTGTTGACGTCCTATGATTAAAAACAAAGCATTCCAACACTGATCCTTTGTTATTTTTATCTATTTTTTTTTTTTTCCAGACAGAGTCTCACTGTATCACCCCTGGTAGAGTGCACTGGTGTCAGCCTAGCTCACAGCAACCTTGAACTCCTCAGATCAAGCAATCCTCCTGCCTCAGGCTCCCCAGTAGTAGGGACTACAGTCATGCACCACCATGCCTGGCTAATTTTTTCTATTTTTTATAGAGACAGGGGTCTCATACTTGCTAAGGATCATCTCAAACTCATGAACTCTAATGATTAATGTACACGTGTTTCTAGAACTTCTTCCCATCCTTCCCCACTCCCCAGGATAAAGAGGTCTCTGCTTGACTCTGCTCCTTCCAGCCCTCACTCTGGCCTCCCCAGACCAGTTCTTGGGCTTTTGTAAGAACTGCAGTGAGGGTAAGGGCTGGAAGAGAGCTTTGTGGGGAAGGGTTGAGATGCCAGAGATGGTTTGAGGCAAAAATGTGAGGCAATTTGTAATATGTGGAGCAGTGGATGGGGAAAGAAAAAAAAGAGAATTTTAAGAAGGATTGTTGATACAGTTATTTTGGAGAGCAATTTCACAGTTGATGAAGTTGACAATGAGCACGCCCTCTCACTCAACAACTCCATTTCTTAAATATACCTTAGGGAAATTCTCACACATGTGCACCTGGATACATGTCCAAGGACACCCACAGAAGTTCTGTTTGTTATCACAAAAACTGGCCCTGGTCTAAATGGCCATGAGCAGGGGATAAAGAATAGATAACTAGTGCTGTTATGCAATAGGCTACTCTGCAAACTAGCAGCCATGAGCTAGCAAAATATAAAGCAGCATGGCTAGACCTTAGAAGATAACGTTAAAGGGAAGCAGCAGGTTGCAGTATAATTCATACAGCATAAAATTGTGCGTGTATTTTTAAAAAGCAAAACAATGCAATATATTATATGTGGATGTTTATATATAAAAATATAATAGCACAGAATAGAAGGAAAACTACCAAACTCATTTTATCAGTCAGGATAGGTTAGGTCCATGCTGCTGCAACAAGCCACACCCAACATCTTAGTGGCTTGTGACAACAGAGTTTATTTCTTGGTTGTGTGACACATCCATCAGGGGTTGGCAGAGGCTCCACTCCAAATCTCCCACTCCGGGACCAGGCTGAGCAGCAGCCACCAGATGCCATGGCAGAGGGAATGACAGCTTGGCAAATTGCCCTGTCTCTCAAAGCTTCCACTTGGCCCAAGCAAGCCCCATGGCCAAACCCAGCTTCCAGGGGGCAGGCAGGCACTCACCTATTGTGTGCCCATAGGAATGCAATAATGTTTGCTGCACAACCCCACACCCAGCATGTGTGGACTTTTAGGAAGAGTACTAAGGAGCTTCCATCCGAACTATAATTATTATTTTTAAAAATATGAAGGAAAAATGTGAAACGTGTTAATTCAGAAGAGAGGACACCTACCTGGGTGTTTGCTATATTATTCTTCATTTTGTCCCTTTCTCAGATATAACCAAAAGTACAAATTTAAAGGGAGGGTCCAAATGGAACATTAATATAAAAAGTCATGTATTCCTGTCCTTGCTGGGACCATGTTTCCTCTCACGGTGTGCAGAACAAACAGCAGTAAAGGGATGCATCAGTGTCATGTTGCTCCTGTCTGCCAGCAGCAGCCCTTTAGACTTTAACAACGGCTTGCTGGGCTCAGCCCTGGTGTCTAGCACTGTGTGCACACCTGTGTGTGCACCTGTGTGTGCACCTGTGTGTGCACCTGTGTGTGCACATGTGTGTGCATCTTCTCCCTCCCACAAAAGGGCTCTCCCTGAGGCTGTCTGACTCACTGCTGTGCTCCCCGCCCTGAACCTGCCACAAAGCAGGTACCTGGTAAATGTTTAATGAATGACTCCAGTATGCTCATTTCTCTTTAAATAATGAGCCACTTGAGGGCAGGAACCATGGCTTCTGCCCCCTCTGAGACAAGGAATGGATGTTTGTTGAATTAATGAATGACCACAGCCCTCCTTCCCTAGCCCATCAATGGAACAACAAAACACACAGTCCTTCCCACTCTACCATGAACCTCCTAAAGGGCTGGTAGGGTCAGTTTTTATGTACATCGTACCATGTTTTTATGTCTGCATTGAAAGGCAGGTGTGCTGTATACCCAGGTGACCAACTTATCCAAATTTTCCTGGGACTTTCCCAGTTTTAGCACAAAAAGTCCACTGTCCTAGGACCCCTGAGTCCCAGGCAAACCAGGAGGGAGGGTCACCCCATAGCAACCCCCTCTTCTCTCTGGGCCTCACTTCTTCCTCACCTTCACATGAGAGGGCTGGATCTGGTCTTGTCTCTGTGTCTCTGATCTAAGATTTTAGGGATGGATCAGAGGGACAGAGGCGAGCCAACAAAAGGAGAAAGAGTCAACTTGCGACTTTCCAAGAGATCTTTATTCTTTCTGAAGGACGTGGGATCACACTGCCAGCCGGCCTGGCTCCTAGTGGCTCGCTATGGTCTGGAAAAAGGTGGGGAGGACAGGATGGTCTAGTTAGGGCAGGGTTCTCGAGCCACATGGAGCTGGGTTTAGCTCCCATCCATGCTGTGTGACCCTGGAAGAGTGATGGGAACCCCCTGAGCCTGTGTCCTCGTCTGCATAGCTGGGGTCATGATGGACCTGACCTCGTGGGGTTCCCGATTAAACTATTCACTGAAGTTCTCCTCATAGTGCTCAGCGCAAGGGCAAGTGGTCTGTGAGCCGAAGCTATGACTGTGAGCACAGACGCCATTGGCGCTATGACACGTCCCCAGACGCTGTCTGACCCCTCCCTGCTCCTGGGCCCTGTCCCGGTGCTATCACACCTCCTCCTTGGTGCTCACTAGTCACCTGTCCCCACCAGGCAGGCCCCGTCTGCCATGTCTCTCTCCTCCATGACAAGAGAGGACAGGGTCAGAGGACACTGGATGAGATGAGGAAGTTGGCAGCAGTTCCAAGCTCCACCCAGAAGCCACCACGTTCTTGGGCCACGCTGTAGCAGGAAACCTCCCCAAACCCCCTGTGGAATGTCCCCAAGGGCCTCTCCACAACTGACTTTCTAGAGTCCTTTGGAGCCCTCCCCAGAGTCTGCTCTTTCTCACCCATCCCCTGGTAGAAGGGCCACCACCCTGTCCCCCTCACCTCCTCGATCCAGTCATTGAAGGCCGACACACGTGTGAACACCGTGGGCTTTTTGAGGGTGTTGCAGCCTTGGGAGGAAACAAAGCTGGCCACACCATGGACCTCCCAGGTGCCATCTGTCCCAGGGCAGTTGAGGGGTCCTCCAGAGTCACCCTGCAAGTGCAGAGAGGTTGAGGGGCTGAGCCATGTTGGAAGGTCAAGGAACTAGTCTCGAGCTTCCGTAACCCCCATGTTACTTGACCTCTCAGACTCAGTTTCTCTTTCGTGATGGGGAACAACCTGCCCAGAAGCTGTGAGGACTGAATTGGAGGATGGAAGGTCTTCGCATACCTGGGGACAGGACGCACCCGATACAGGTAGTCCCCGTCATTGACACCATGTCAGTTACTAACATTATGGTTCATACTCACTTATTATACAATGATCGTATTCCTAATGAGTAATTATGACGTCAGAACCACAGGGCTGACGTGACTTTAGAGGGCGTGGCCAGTGTCCTTGGCCTGTGTATGGGGAAGCCCGAGGACCAGAGCAGGATTGTGACTTGTTCCAGCTCAAGCCAGTGTGCGAGCTGGGACTAGAATCCAGGGTCCTGAGACCCAGGCCTGGCCTCTGTGTCCGGACTACGCTGATGTCCCCCAAATCCTGCCCAGCCTGGAGGCTGAATGGAGCCCCAGGCAAGGTACCTCCTCCACCTCCCGGCAAATGGCAGAGGCAGCCCGGGCCCTGCACCCCCGGCACCACCTGGGCAGGTAAGAGTGACTCACATTGCAGCCGGAGCGGACGTCCCCACCGGCACACACCATGGTCTTCTTCACACTGAAGCCCCACCAGGTCAACCTGGAGCAGTGCTTATAGTCCACCACGGGCAGCAGGGCCTGCTGCAGCTTGTCAGGGAGTGGCCCATTGGCTGTGGGAGTAGAGAGCACTGAGCAGGGGGCCTGGGAGAGCAGGGGGTAGGAACCCAGAGAAAGGGGCATTCAAGGCTGTCAGCTCTTTTATCTTTCTGCTGGTTTCATGGTCCTGCATGCTTTGTGCACCATACATCCCAGCCCCTGGTGCACGGGGGCACTAAAAAATGTCTAATGGAACATTCGTGTTTAGGAGGATGGAAGAGAAGGCTGCAGGTAGACAGAAATGGGAGAAAAGTTACATGAACCAGTCCTGGTGTGACCTTCAACCCCAGCGACCCAGCCCTGTCTTTTTGCCACTGTCCCTGTGGCTGGCTAGAGAGTCAGTACGTACTAGAGAGACGGCCCCAGCCGGTGATGTAGCAGGGCTCCTCGTTGGGCAGGATGTCACCAGCCGGGGGGAGGGTGGCAACCTGGACAGCGTCTCCCAGCTGGGCGCTTTTCGAGAGCTTGATGAGGGCGATGTCATTGCTGGGGACGAGAGAAGAGTCTCAGGGCCTGGTCCTCCAGCTGGCCCAAGTCCAAGTGCCCCTTCCAGCCTTTGCTCCAGGCTGTTCCACCTCTGAGATGCCCTGAGGCTCCTTTGCCTCCCAATCCATTTTTCTTTTAAGATATTTGTGGGTAGAGGGGAGGAGGGGCATGGACAATACATGTAACCTTAACACTTATACCCCCATAATATACTAACATTAAAAAAAAAAAAGAAAAAATTAAAAAAAGAAATTTGGGGGTGAGTGTCTCGCTATGTTACCTAGGCTGATTTTGAGCTCCTGGCCTTAAGCAATCCTTCCACCTTGGCCACCCAAAGTGCTGGGATCACAGGCATGAGCCATCGCACCCAGCCAAAGCCTACACTGCTACAGCACCCGGCATTCCCAAGCAGTGTCCCACGCAGGTACGACCCAACCCGCCCCTGCTTAGCGAGATCGCTCGAGACTGGGCACGTTCAGGGTGGTGTGGCTGTAGAGCAAGTCCACTCCTAAGGCTCAGCGACTTTAACAAGCTCTTCCAGCCCCTTCACTCATGCTGACCCTTCACCTTCACAGTTGTCCTCTGCTTATACCCCAGTGGGTCGCACAGTATCAGAATCACCTGGAGGGCGTGTTAGACACAGATTGCTGGGTCCCAGCCCAGAGCCGCTGATGCAGTGGGTGTGGACTGAGGCCCAAGAATCCAACCAGAATTTCTATCTGGTTCCCAGGTGATGCTGATGCTGGGGGCCAGGGGCCACACTGTGAGAGCCAGTGCTGTCCTCATCTGCCAGCGTGTCACTCAGCCATCCACCTGGGTCTCACTTTTCTCTCCTTCCCCAGCAGCCCTGTGGAGGTGGGTCGGGGTCCTGGGTCTTTCCCTCTAGGGTGCATGTTCAGGGTTTTGGACCCTTCTGTGACCCACTGCCCAAAAAAGATGAGTCGCTCAGACTTACAGTTTTGCCTACAATTGTCTTAAGTTGGTCTCCTTGACCTTCACCACCACCCAGGAAGCCCTGGTTCTCGGTCACCTTTCACAGATGGCAGAGCTGAGGGCCAGATAAAGCCAGTGACTTGTCCCAGCCACAAGAGGGTTAGTGCTGGAGCCCGACTCTCGGGCCAGTGCTCCTCCATGCGCTGTCCCCACTGGCTGTCGAATGGAACAGGCCTGGCCTTGGGAGACGGGTGCCAGAGGAGTGTTGGGCTCTGAAGCCAACTAGCCACCTGGCCTTCGGGGAGATCTTGGCCCCCTGGGTCCTGGTGTCCCCTCTGGAGGGAGACTGGTTTGGTGGCAATGGTCTTTTTTTTTTTTTTGAGACAGAATGTAGCTCCGGTGCCCAGTTTAGAGTACAATGGCCACAGCCTAACTCACAGCAACCTGAAACACTTGAAGTGTTCCTTCAAGTGTTTGAAGCCAAGGGATCCTTCTGCCTTGGCTTCCCTAGTAGATGGACTACAGGTACACACAATGAGGATTGGCTAATGTTTTCTATTTATAGTAGAGATGGTGTCTTGCTTTTGCTTAGGTTGGTCTCAAACTCATCACCTCAAGTGATCCTCTCACTTTGGCCTCCCAGAGTGCTAGGATTACAGGCATGAGCCAATGCACCCACCCAGCCTAATGTCCATCGTCCTTACAGGTTCTACTGGCTCCAGCCCTCAGCACATGGGACCAGGACACAGGCTGCAGGATCCAGCCCCACTGTCCCTGGGAGCCTCCGGAGGTTCCGCTATGGGTCATGGCAGAACGAGTAGAGGACTCCTGATTCCAGGCCTGGGTATTTACTTACCCACGGCTCACATATGTGGGGTTCCAGTTGGGGTGCACGAAGATGTCCTCATTGTTGATGGGGATCACCTGCTCAGACCCCTCCACCACAGACAGGTCGTACTCGCCCAGCACCACCCGGTAAGTCCGGCCGCTCCTGCCAGGAGAGAGGAGGTCAGTCTGGGTAACCTCCCTCACTCCTGCAGTCACCCAGTGTCCCCAGCTGCCTGGGTCCCATGCAGGGACGGGGCAAGTGAGAGAACTCACGAGATGCAGTGACCCGCAGTCATGACCCAGTCCACGGCGATCAGGGTGCCGCCACAGGTGTGGTAGAAGGCTCCGTCACGCTCATACTGTAGGGAGATCTGGTGCCCAAGCACGAGAGAGCCTCAGTGGTCTGTACCCCACAGCTGTTTAGGTTGTGCACTGTAAGACTCTAGTGAGTGCCATTCACACAGAAAACAGTGCCCTTCTGAAATGTGCAGTGCACAACCTGCACAACTGCCTGGGGTGGGCCTGCCATTTTTCCACTGGAATCACATCCTGATTCTCCAAAGCTTCCACACCTCAAGCCTGTGACCTCCAGGGCTTCCCATATTGTCTTCCCTCTAAAGCACCCCCAATCCTTGGGTCTCTTGAGAGCCCCAAGGCCCTCTGTGCTGTCAGGTCCCCGTTCTTCTGGACCTCGGATCTTTCCAGGGCTCTCGGGCCTCTAGAGCAGCACAGCTCACCCGAGTGCTTTGCCTGTCGTCCCAGTCCCTGCCCCTTCTCGTGCTCAAACGCCCCCTCTAAGCCGGGGTGGCAAACTGTGGCCGTGGGCAGACCTGGCTTGGGCTGTGTTTTAGCACACGAAGGTCTCCTGGAACACAGTCACACCGCTCATTCCTGTGTAGCCTACGGCTGCTTTCCGGCTACAATGGCGGGGCTCGGTCATTGCCATGGAAACCTGGTGGCCGGCAGCACGGAGAATATTTACTCTCCTGTCCCTTACAGAAGCAGCTCGCTGGCCCAACCCAGTAGAACCTTCTGTGATTATAGAAATGCTCCATATCTTTGCTGTCCTATATGACATCCACTAGCTACACGTGGTTATTGAGTTCGAAATATGGCTAGGACCAAAGAATTGACCTTTTAACATTATTTAATTTAAATTAATTTAAATTTAATTAGCCACTTGTGGCTAATGGCTGCTGTGCGACAGTATGGCAAGTCCAGCCCTCTGTGCTTCCCTCCACTGGCCTCTGCAAAGCCCTCAACCCCTTATTGCTGGAAGCACTTATGGCTCTGTTATTCGATTCAAGGGATCTAGAAATGAGTCCCTCAAAATCTCCCTCCCTAAACACAGTGCCTGAAATTCCACTATTGTGCCAACCCATTGAATGAAGCGTTACCTTCACCCTAGATTCCACTGTTATTTTTATTTTTTAGAGATAAGAACTCACTCTGTTACCCAGGCTAGATTTCTGTGGTGCCATTATAGCTCACAGCAACCTCAAACTCCAGGGCTCAAGTGATCCTCCAACCACAGGCCTCCATGTAGATGGGAGTACAGGTAGGCACCACCAGGTCGAGCTAATTTTTAGATTTTTGTAGAGACGGGATCTCACCATGTTGGTTTAGGATTGTGTTGAATTCTTGGCCCCAAGTTATCCTTCTGCTTCAGTCTTCCAAAGTGCTGGGATTATAGGCGTGTTCCACCATACCCAGCCCCAGGTTCCACTTTTAACTTGCAAACAGCACAGTGAGGACTACAGATGGACGGGGCAAAACCTCCATGAGGAGTAGGTTGGCCACCGTTTCGTGGCCTTGCAAGCTGAAGTGGATATTGAAAAGGCAGCAATGGTGCCAAGACCAGATCCCTTGCCATCCCAGCTCAGGGTCCAGAGCCCATGGTGGGAATTAGTGTAGCTGGCATTGTTCTTACCTGCCAGGGCCAGCTGTAGGGGACTGCATCCTCACCATTGACAACTCGGCTACCGGGCTTGTAGGCAGGTTGGACATGGGCTGTGGCTACAAAGGAGAATAGAGGTGTCAATTAGCCACAAGGTCCCCCGAAAGGAAAGAGGAAGCCAGGGTCCCAGTCCTAGCTGTGGCACAAACTGGCTGTGTGACCTTGTGCAAGCCCCTTTCCCTCTCTGGACCTCAGGAGCCACAGATGGACAGTGAGCATTTGCACTAGGGCAGGGGTTTCCAGAGTCCCAGCAGTCCAGGGAGACAGATGAAAATGTGGCCTCCTTCCATGGGAGGATTGAGGAGGTGGATACACTTAGAACAGTGCCTGGGCCCTCAAAAAGTGATTGCTATTGTGATAAAGAGTGCAGGCTTTGGTCTGGGCGTGGTGGCTCGCACCTGTAATCCTAGCACTCTGGGAGGTTGAGTGGGCAGGATTGCTGAAGGTCAGGAGTTGGAGACCAGCCTGAGAAGAGCGAGACCCTGTCTCTACTAAAAACAGAAAGAAATTAGCTGGACAACTAACAATATATAGAAAAAATTAGCTGGGCATAGTGACGCATCCCTGTAGTCCCAGCTATTCAGGAGGCTGGGGAAGGAGGATCACCTGAGCCCAGAAGTTTGAGGTTGGTGTAAGCTAAGCTGACGCCATGGCACTCTAGCCCAGGCAACAGAGCAAGATGCTG